TAATCGTAGACATAATTACCCAAACAATAATCGTAGACAAGATTTACGTCAAGGACTAAATAATCATCGCGAAAACTTCGGAAATCATCGTCGTAATTTCTTCATTCAACGAAATAATTATCAACAACAACAGCATAATCAATTCGGTCGTAATGTCAGCATTAGTGTTCCAGCAAATGTAGATCCGTTAACTCATAATATTGTTTTTGTTCCAAAAAATTGAAGCACATGAAATGAAAAATTTAATTATTTGAATTATGCATTAGAATTTAAGTTGAGAATCATCACTTTTTTTTTGTGGTGGCGAGTGTAAAGAAAAATACATATTTTTCTTTATTTAACATATACAAATTCATTAGTTTCATCATTTTTCTTAATTTTGAAATATTAAACGTTCTTTTTAAATTCATATCAATTTTCGAAATTTACTGGGAGTTTTTTCCTACCCCTAAAAAAGAATTTAATCAAAAAAAAAAGAAGAACGTGTAGCACAAAAGAGGACTAAAAGTAAGAAAAATAATAATTGAATTAAACATTTTGTAACTTTTTAAATAAAATAAATTAGGTGTAATAATCCTGCAAAGGTTCGCTAAGAAAGAAGGAGAAAAGAAGAAAGATTTTGACTCCAAAATAAAATTGAAGAGAATTTCAAGATTAATTCAAGTTGTTTTAATATTTGCTGTTGGATCTAAAGGATTACATCACGAAATGGTATGTCCAAAACTATTTTAAGAATAAATGTGCGACAGAGGAGATTGATTTACGTCCATAGTGAGTAGTTGATAATCCTAATTCTAGTTCCTTGCATTGACTTGATCTTCCTCGCCTTTTAACCGTCTGCTTAAAGCGAATGTTTGATTGTACATTTCCATGGATGTTCCTATAGATGTAATTTGCATTCATGAGGAAATTTATTCCTCTAATTGGCAAGCAATTCTCAGTTTTGTGCGTGTACATTTTAACTCTGTTAGTTCGTTTCTCTAGTTTAAAAACACTCCTTAATGCCTTGTTCTGGATTGACTGTAAAGGTTTAATCACATTATCACATGCTGATCCCCATATTACATTCATATATAGTAAATGTGATTCGAACAATGTGCTATAAACCTTTTTCTTGATGTATGTTGGTAATTTATTTCTCATTTTCCAAAGCATACCTGCACAAGACGTGAGTTTAGATTCCAAATTTCTGCAGTGCTCGTCAAATTTTAGATGCTCGTCTAATATCAGTCCAAGATATTTTGATGTCTTTGTCCTTTTCATTATAAAATTATCGCTAATAGTAATTGTATCAGCATCATTTAATTTTTGATAAGGGGAATGCATGATCATGTAGACAGTCTTGGCTTCATTTAATGCTAGTTTTTTACAGTTCAGGAATTCAGTTATTTTTGTAACATCATTCCTAACAACTTCATCTATTGATTCACTTTTTTCATGTATATTTAGTATTAATGCATCATCAGCATACATATAGAGAGTGCCGCTAAGATTTAATTGTGATATTTCATTAACAAATATTAAAAAAAGAAGGCTTCCCAAAGTTCCTCCTTGAACAACTCCATTTGAGACCATTCTTACACTACTGTAACAGTTTCCAATTTTTACTATTTGTTTTCTGCCTGTTAAATAATTCTTTATTAAGTTTAGAGTAATACCACGAATGCCGGATCTTTCTAGTGACATCAATAGCTGCTGTGTGTCGACTGAATCGAATGCCTTTTTTACATCCATCATCACTAACGAGACTTTCTTTTTTTTGTCAATGTTCATTCTTATTTCATCCACAAGTTCCAATGCTGCTATTTCAGTATTCGATTTTTCTCTAAATCCAAACTGCTTGTTGTACAGTAAATTGTTTTTATTAGTGAAATTCATAATCCTACGGTAAAGAATTTTCTCTACAACCTTGTTAAATGATGTGAGAATAGATACTGGACGGTAATCTTGTATGTCATTCTTCTTTCCTGATTTATTAATAGGAATAACGATTGCAGTCTTAAATATTTCGGGATAAATCCCCGTTTGGAACATTCTATTAATCAGATGGCATAACGGGCGAGAGAAATCATTGCTTAGAAACTTTAAGACTTGAGGTTTAATTTCATCAATTCCCGGTGCAACATTTTTTAGAGAACTTATGGCAACTTTTACTTCAGTAGCGTTCGTTTCTTCAAGAACCATTGAATTTGATAATGAGGTAAACTTTATTGGTTTTCTTGATTCGGATATGCTTAATATTGCCTCATTAACACTATCAATAAAGTATTGATTGAAACTTTCTGCTAATTCGTTCTTGTTCACTATTATCTTGCCATTAGTATCACAAATTGAGGAAATTCCGTCATTAGATCTTCTACCTAAAACTGAATTCAAATTTCTCCATAACACTTTGGGGTCTTTGACCATTAGGTTCTTAAAATTAAATTTTTTTTCTTCCAATTTAATGGTGGTTTTTAGTTTTTGGGATATTTTTTTAAATTGCTCTTTTGTATTTTGACAATAGCGTTTTTTTTTTAGCTTTTTACGTATTTTATTTTTTTCATGTTGAATTTTTCTTATTTTTCTATTCAGCCATGGGATCATTTTACAATCATCTTTAGCTTTGATTTTTATTGTTTTGGTGCATGATTTAATGGCATCACTTGTAACTTCAGTCAGGCATTGCGCAATTTCATTTACATCCTTTATTTTATAAATGTCTTTAAGTTTTTTGGAGTTTTGAATAAGATCGCTTAACATTTCATAGTCAAGGATTTCATGTGTTCGCACTTGAGGCTTATCATTAGCTGTTTCCATATCCTCAATTGATGTTACTATCATATTATGGTCTGAGAAGTTTTTATCAAGCGACATTGTGTGTACATAAATTCGACACGAATCATAAAAATTAACTATAACATGGTCTATGATCTTCTCGCTTATGTCTCGCGTTATATTGCTGTTGATTAGTTGCATGTCATATCCGTGAATTAAGTTTCTGTACTTTTTTGTGTGTTTAGTATCTTCTGAAATATCAATATTAATATCACCAACCAGTATGATTCTTTCATTGCTCTCAGAGATTTCCTCTTCAACATCATCAATAAATTCGTCTATGTTTTTGATTTTTTGTGATTCTGGTGGTCTGTAGTAACTAATTATTTTCATTTTTTGCTTGTTTTGACAAATATTGAGTCTAACTTTCTCAAATGAGGACGAAAACGTTTCGTGTTTTATGACAACAATCTCTTTTTTTACATAAACTAATAATCCACCTCCACCAACCAATTTTCCCTTAGAGTTTTTATAGCTTTTTCTACAACTGAAATACATATCATAACCTGGCAGGTTGTATAATGACTTAGGAAATGTTGATTTCAATTTAGTTTCACCAAGTACCATAATATCAAATTTGAAATTCAGTGTCGACAGCATATATTTAAATTTTTCGAATTTTGGATAGTCATTAATACCTCTAATATTTATTTGCATAATGGAAAATTTCTCAATCTTTAATGTTTTATTACGGAAGCTTGCAAATGATTTATAATAAATATTATTTGTTTCAGGTTCGACATTTTTGTGCTGAGATGGTGGTGGAGATTCTGGTTGCTATTGAGTAACAACATCCATTTGCTGAGGACTGTCTTCATTTGCATTCGTTGGTTGTTCATCAAAGAACTTTTTTAGTTCTTTCAAGTTCTCCTCACTTTGGATTATCAATGAATTTCCGTTAGGAATCTTTACATGAACAGCGCCATCATAAAAGTTTGGCCTAATATTATAAGCTTTTGTTATGTATTTAGCTTTTCGTAAGTAATAGCCGTTTGATGGGGTTAGAGTATAATTGAAGAATATGCCATTATTTATCTTAATTTTGCTCTTTTCACGCATTATTCTCATTTTTGTTTCAACATCATCAAAAGTCACGGTTAATATTGTTTTAGACATAGGTTTCTTAATTTCTGTTGCGGTCACTTTTTTTATATCCGCATCATCAACTTTGATCTTAAATGATCTAATAGTATTAACAGCCAGCAACTTTAAATCAGTATTAACATCATTGAATAACAATCCAGAGATGTCCATGCAGCAGTCAAGACGAGCTTGTTTCATATAATTGACACATAGTTTTTGACTTTCCATTGCAATACGTAAACTTTGATCAGCTTTTTCTTCAACGATGTCAATTTTGTTATTAATGTTTTGTAGTGATCCGTCCATTTTTTGGTTTATTTCGGCTTTAAAGTTTGCGATGTCATTGCCTAAATTGATGCTCAATTCATCCAGCTTTTTTGAGTGATTTTCACTTTTCGACTCAATTAAAAGAAAAAGATCAGCGAGAGTTATATTCTCCAGATCACGCTTGTTTATGCTCTTTTCGCTTGTTTGAGTTGAACTTGTTGGTGTAATTTGGTTAGAGTTCCTACTACGCTTCGGCGTCCGATCAAGCAATGGTTTTTTGAGAAAAACCTCGTTTTCTTTTTCTGCCATAATTGTTATTAGCGACAAGTTAGTTTCAAAATATGTTAGATATGTATCTATGTGAATTTCCGTTAAATAGTAATTTAAATTTTCTACATGCACCAAATTCACCTCTCATATAGTAAACTCACCACACAAAATGTGATTGTTATTGCAATTGTCGTTGTTTTTTTTTTTGTTCTCGAAATTTCCAGATAGAAGAATATTGATTTTAATTAATCTGTTGCCTTATTAGACCTTGTACTCAATTATTTATGACTAGATGTCTTCGATGGGATGTCTCGTACAAACTCAAATTATTTTAGAATCACAGGTCGATAAATCCACTGATATATTTTGTTTTATATTTATCCTTTTACCGAAAACAATCGTAGTTTACAAAATTTGTGAATTAGACCATATACAAGCGCGTATCTATTGATTCTTTATGCAATCCTTGACTATCAATACTGTTTATTCTAGAGTGTGTCTACGTTGATTTAATTAATTTAATTTAAACACTTAATTTTTTAAAAATAATCTTTTCACTTCAATCAATTTTTTTTGGTTAGAAAGAGGTCAATGAATTTCTCATCGCCTTTCTCAATATTTTGTGTATTTAAAATTTCTCCAGTCAAGTCAGCTTCTGTCAGAATATCGATGTATTTACGATTATTTGGACTTTCTTGTCTGATAGACCATCGATTTGAGATGACCATTCGAGGACCAATACAGTCAATTGTTGTCATCAAGTAATTCCTGCTTTGATCACTTTTACTCTGAATTCTGCACAAATGAGGTGGATTCCTGCATTTAAAATTGGCACAAATCAGTCCTCCTAAAATTTTGATTAGGGAAACTTGTTTATCATCTTAAAAATTAAGTCTGATAATCCAGAAATTTACCATCATTTCCCATACTAATTGAATGAAAGCTTGGATATCCTGCACCGAATCTCTGAATTGCTAATAATCTATCGGAATTTGCACATTTCAAGCAAGTCGATATTAAGAAAAATATTTGAAGTTTTAAGACTTTCATCTTGTTGGAAGTAAGTTCGAACTTTTACTGATGCAGTGCTCTTCAAAATTACAGCGTTTTATGAACTTATTTCTGTTTGGAAGCATGAAATTATTTACAAGGAAATGCATTTATTTTAGTGAATCTTGAGCCTGTAAGTTAGGCAAACCTTAATTTTGTGAAGCTAAGTTTACTGATTTATTAAGTTCCTGATTTAAGTTCCCACAACTCAGATATAGAGCAATATTTAATAGTAATACCCAGTAATGCCTCAACTAATCTCTTTATTTAATTTTAAATTATATCAGAATCAACATCGTTCGAAATATTACACCATGCTGTCTCTCAAATGCTCAATTTTTTTTAGAACCCCCTCAAATACTGTCATACTAATGAATCTGATGCCTTGAAGGAATAGAACACTGCACTCAGTCGTCAGTTAAGTGTTGAAGAGTGCATTACTCAGTAATTAGTCGGGAATAATTTAATTCTGCAATTAAATGGGAATTTTACTACAATATTTTGCGGCATTTTCATGTAACTTGATTGATTCGCAGAAAACCTTTCAAATTATCAATAGTTATAATATGATTTATTTCCAGCTGCTCTTGGAGCTTTGAGTGCCGGCACTGGTAAAATATTAAATCAGCTCCTTTATTTAAAATTGAATAAATTCGTTTCTTTAAAGCTCTTGGATGGACAAGTAATCTGCAGCATAAAATCGTCTTTTTCTCAGATTATGGCTTCAAAGTGACAGAAGTTGAGTTTTCACTCCTTGGATCAATGCTTAATCTGGGTGCAGCTTCTGTTTGTGTATTGACAGGCTTTATGATTAATTATTTTGGTCGTCGTGGAACTATGCTTCTGGTTCTAATTCCGTTCATCCTTGGATGGTGCCTTCTCATAACTGCAATCAATGTAACAATGCTAATCATTGGACGAGCACTAATAGGCATGGCGTGTGGTGCATGTTGTGTCAGTTGTCCAGTAAGTTTATTAGTGTCATTAAATTTATGCAGTATTTAATATCCATTTACTTTTGGTGTCAGGTTTATGTTGGCGAAATTGCTGATAAAGAAATTCGTGGAAAATTGGGATCATTTTTTCAGCTATTAATTACAACCGGAATCATGTTGGTGTTTATACTTGGAGCATACAATAGTTCTCAAATTACAAGTTCTGTTTGTGCATTTATTCCTCTCTTATTTGGATTTTGTATTTTCTTTTGTCCTGAATCACCGGCATTTTATGTAAGCATTATAGCTTGTTAATCATGTTACTCGTTTTAAGGCCAAAACCAAACTGAACTAACTTCACACGATTCTTTTCTTAGGTCATGAAAGGAAAACATGATAAAGCCATGATATCATTAAAAAGATTTCGAGGAAAGTCAACCGATCTATATGCAGAATTAAATTCTTTAATAGAAGAAGAGGAACTTAGAATGTCTCAAAATGTTAAAGCTGCTCTAAGAAAGAAATCCTCAATGAAGGCAATGATTATAGCTTGTGGCTTAATGTTTTTCCAACAATTATCAGGAATTAATGCTGTAATTTTTTATACCACAACAATTTTCAAAGATGCCAAAATAGAGATTAAGCCTGAATTAGCAACAATAATTGTAGGAGTTATTCAAGTTTTAGCGACTTTTGTGGCAACTTTAACGGTAGATAAAATTGGGAGAAAAATGCTGTTGATTATTTCTGATGTCTTCATGGCACTTTGCACGTTGATGCTTGGAACTTATTATGGATTGAAGGAATCCAATGAAGAATCTGTCAAAGGTTATGGATGGATCTCACTTTTATCATTGTGTGTGTTTATTATTGCATTCTCATTAGGTTTCGGACCAGTGGCATGGATTATGATTGGTAAATTGCCATAGACGTCATTTAAGAAAGAATCTTTTAAATTCTTATTTGATTTTTAGGAGAAATCTTTTCATCAGATGTCAAAGGATTTGCAGGATCAATGGCAGGAACTATAAATTGGTCACTAGCATTTGCAGTAACAGCTGTTTATCCGACAATCCGTGAATTAATTGGACCATCACTATGTTTCTTAATTTTCACAATTTTAAGCACCTTGGGAATCCTTTTTTCAATTTTCATTGTTCCTGAAACAAAAGGCAAATCACTAGCTGAAATTCAACAGAATCTCGAAGGAAAATAAAAAAGAAGTTCGTGTAAAAAAATTATGATAATATATCTTTATTTTTTGTTGTGAATAGCCCATCATCTCTATGTAAAAATGTAGCATTCTCGCTCTTTCATAATAAAAACTTTATGATTCTTAAATAAATTACAAAAAGAAATTGTTATAAAAATTTTTGCAATATCAAAAAAAAGTAATAATTAATTTAATTACAAAAATCATGCATTAACTTTCATTATGTTGGAATGAAAATTTTCCTGGCTTTTCCTTTCAATTTGAATCATAATAAAAGATAGTAATAATGTTGTGTACCGACAACACATAAAGCACAAAATGGATATGTAGATATGACAAAAAAAAGTATAATTTAAAAACTTTTGGCATCATGGAACTTAGCTAATTAATTTATCATGAAGAACTAACTGTCGTTCAGCTTTTCTTTCATTTTCTTCTTGTTGGTGTGTATGTGTGTGTGTTATGGATAGTTCATATGACTAGCGGTGATAAAAACATTTTTTTGTCATGAAATATTGTTCGTGATCATTTAATTCCTCTCCTCATCAGTCTCATTTGTTTCCTTTTCACCAGCTAGCATCGTTTGAATCTCATTGAGTGTCTTTCCTTTCGTCTCAGGCACAATAATGAATATGAATATGGTTCCGAGTATAGACAGACCTGAGAATAGCCAGAAAGTACCACCGGATCCAAGAGCAGTATTGAGGTTTACAAATGTTTTTGTAATGACGAAAGCTGTTGAAGTATTATAATTAGCAATCAAATGAAATCAAAGTGTCCAAATTATGGAATATTTCCAGGAGCAAAAATTAACTTTCCAATAAATTCCTGGAAATTTCCAGTAATTAGAAATAATATTTAAATTTTTTAAATCCGTTGAGTTTTGAATTGTAGAAAACCGTTTTATTCTTTAATCTTACCTAAAAGCCAATTCAATGTTCCGTTTAATGATGCTCCAAGACCCTTTACATCAGGTGCAAAAAGTTCACCTATGTTTAAATAAATTCATGTTAATATCCAAAGAGTTCATACTTAAATATTTTACTTACCAATCATAAGCCATGGAACTGGTCCTAAACCCAAAGAGAAGCAAATGATGAATACACAAAGCGAAAGAACTGGCAACCAGCCTAAATTTTCTACACTGTCTTTATTTTGGTCCTTCATGTAGAAGAAAATTCCTAATGCGAGAGTACATAAAGCCATAACAGAGTCGGAAATGAGTAACAAAATTCTACGACCGACTCGATCGACAATCATTGTAGATACAAATGTGGCAATGACTTGCATGACTCCAATAATAATCGTAGCAATTGCAGGCTCAATGTCAGTTTCTGCAGCTTCAAAAATAGCATTTGTATAGAAAATTACAGCATTAATTCCAGAGACTTGTTGGAAGAACATAAGACCCATGCTGACAACGAGACCTCGAATTGTTGTTTTTCTACTCATTGCCTGTCCAAATGTTACAGAATTTGTTTTTCTTTCCTCAGCATCATTTTGAAGCTCAGCAATTTCTTCACTTGGATCATATTGCTCTCCTCTAAGCCATTTAAGAGCTTTAATAGCACTTTGACTGTTGTCTTTCATTACGAGATATGTTGGGGACTCTATGTAGGAAATTAAAGTTACTGGATGGACTAAAGTTTATGTAAATGTTAAACTTACCAGGCATAAAAACGAAAATAGCACCAAAAACAATTGGAATAACACCACAAATTATGCTTAACACAACAACGTTTGCTTTATAACCGACGCCATATACAAACAATATTCCAATAGTAATCATCAGTTGAAAGAAGGATCCTAAAGTTCCACGAATGCTCTTATGTGCAATTTCACCAATAAATAGCGGTGCAGCAACACAGAAACCACCGCATGAGATACCAATGAATGCTCTTCCGATAATTAACATTGTAATATTTTGTGGCCAAATCAACAAAGCCCATCCAATAAGGAATGGAACAACAAGAGCAAGCATGCTTCCTTTTCTACCAATATAATTGATTATAATTCCGATTGGAATACACATTGCAGCCGCGCCTAGATTGAGTGAGGAACCGACCCATGATTCTGCTTCGTCAGACACTGGAAATCCATATCCATCAGCTTTCATTAATGGTCCTGCTGGGCTTGTCCATCCAAGTGCAGTACCTGATTAAAAATTGAGAAATTTTTTAGCAGCATTCTTGAAAGAACAGACTGTAAATAATGTTACCTGCTGCTAAAGCACCACCAGTCGCCTATTGAGATTAAGACATTCCATAATAATTAAATTAGTATGAATCATCAGCTTAATTACTCATATTTATCTTACCGCTAATGCCGCGACATATTGTGGCCATTTCTTTGTTTCCTGTTCTGGATTTCCCATCTGATCACTAGAAACTGCGTGCTCAAGAATTGGACTCTGTAAATAGAAATTAAATTCATATCCATTAGTGCTGATTCATCTTAATTAAGCATCAGACAATAATCTCATTACAAGTTCATCAGCATAAACATAAGTGCGATGAGGAATTGCAGGCAATAGCCGAGACGTTTCGTCAGCATCTTCTGTATCACTCATTTTGGACGAGATTTAACTAAACTTTTTTTTTTATTTCGAGAAAACTAATATCTATAGGTCTAGGAGATCACTAAAATATCACAATACTTCGCAGTCAGTTCCTTTGTTTTTGTTTCTTTCCCTTTGTTGATTGTATAAAACTTTCCAGTCTACTGGAAGTAAGTTTGAACTATTAAAAGCCGTTATTTCTAGAATGACTGTGTTCTCACGATTATCTATGATAATCAGGTTCTTTAACCCTGTAATTGAATAGAATCATTTCCCATCATTACCTTTAATTTATGGACATGTCAAATAAAGTACGAAGAAGCTTGAAATGTCGATCACCTCGACAGAGCTCTATGCGTTATATCTATAAAAAAATCCCCCAGAAAGTCGTTAATTAATCCAGTCACATGTTCTGTTTAAATTTAAGTTTTATAATGCAAATATGAAAGCAGCACGAGAATTATATTCATTGTCAAGGCCATCAAAAGTTTATTGCTAGTTCCGCGATTTATTTTCATTTAAATAACAAAACCTCCAAATCAGCTTTTTATTAAACGGCAATCAGAATATTTTGGAACGAAAACAATCGAAAGAAAATAGCAGACGCTTGAGCTGTTTGGCATCGATAAAAAATTCTTATCATTTAAGTCTATTACCTCCGCTATTTTATGAATTTAATTCATTTATTGATAATTGAGTGTTTTTAATATCTTAATTACTTTAACTTGTTGGCTAAAGTGTATTATGTCATCATTTATTGCTAAAAGTTCATTGGAACTGCTGGGAAATTGTATTTGTTAAAATCTTCTAACCCCCTTGTCCATAAATTGAAGGAAAGGAATTGCGAGTCGCTTGCAACAAGATTACAAGAAATGACCAATCTGAAAACATTTTCTCAGAATTAATTGGAAATACCCAAGACAAGACTCTTCATTCCAACAAGATATCGAAGTGATCGAAACAAAATTTCACAGTAAATGACACAAATCAATTTTCCCATAAAAGTTCATTGCTTGGGGCGTAAATTTCTACATTCTTCAGATGCATCGTGGTAGCGGCATAGAAGAAAGCATTTAATTGACAATTCACAGTTCACATGCCACTTGTATTTTGATGTCACATCCAATAATTGATCGAATCTTATCAATGTTTTATTGTGTAATTGGATACGATTAAATTGAAGAATTTCTTTTGATATCCAGAAGTATTTTATTAGGTCCAATAAATCATAAGCTGTAAATTGAGCAATATTTAAAGGTTCTAAATTTAGATGCTTACTTAACAATGCAATTGAGCTATGAACCCATTTTGAAAGTGCCACAATAACCATTAACAAGCATAAATCACATTGGAAGTAATAAGGGCACTTGAAGTGCCTAGACATGAAGCCTAGTCTGGTAGATTAAGATAGTTTCGTATTTTTTGGACGTAAATATATTCGATGTGGATTGAGCGACGTGGAGGATTTTTGATAACCAAAATGCTCTCGAAATATTCTAGAAATTACTTCCATGAAGTTTTATTTCTGTTGATAAAATGGAACTGGCTGATTAGAGATAAACGCAAAAGTTGTTTATTGAGTTGTTGTTCAAAAAAAACTTAATTGTTTCCAGTTTTTCTAAATTTTAAAACATTTTTGATAAGGAAGTCAGTAGGAGAGGCACGGAACGTTTTTTGATGCCACAAAAACTCAAATTTAAATTAAATTGACAATTTTTTAAGAAGCTTTAGTCATCAAACACGAACTTTCTTTTTTTTATGCCAATTTTTGCGAAAGGAAGTATGTAAATGAGATAATGTCAATATTTTGTCCATCTTGTGTATACTTGTGGACTCAAAAAGTCTTCGAGACGATACTTGATTCACTAAGATACCGACTTCGGTCATTACAAAGTCTCGTCGCATGCATGTTATGTACATAAACAAAAAACATGTACATAAGATGATAACAAGATAATTGGAAGCTCCACATACACAAATTATCCACAATTGTCATTCATAAAGGAAAGCACAATTTATAAAAAATGATTTAAGAGCTTCCCCCAGTAAGTCTCGAATTTTTTGAACGAAATTTTTTCTTTCTTTTTCCTTATTAAAAACTGAATCAGATGAAATGGAAAGTTATACGCATTCAATTGATTGCCAATTCATTTATAAACATGATGAGTCGCTTTATGCTTAGATGAAATCGAAAACTAGATCAACAATGCAATTGCATTCATGATAATTTCGTAATTTAGAATGTGTCTTTGTTACAGTTTTAAGATTTATTAATAATTTGTTTGCATGCAAACTTCAAATAAGTTGGCTATGCACTTGACAAACAGATAGGCTTTTAATTGGGCAAGAGCTATTAAAATATTTACCAATTAAACAATCTCCTTGCTATTGATTCTTATTAAAGGAAATAAGGAGCTCTCAAAACAACCATGCTTATCAAAATACTCCATTAAATACTTAAAGCTTCATTTTAAATTTGTAACCCCCTAAAATATAAAAACTAAATACTAATCATCAGTTTCAAAACATCCGAATTATCTCATACAGCAAACAGTCTAGTTCTCACTCATTGAACTAATATATCATTTTCTCAAAGCACTTCATTGTTATCATTGGCTCATACTTGATATCAATTCTATTCACTTTCATATAATCCACACATGAATTCATTGTTTTCTCATAAGTAATTGTTAAAAACTTGTCAGAACGAGTAATAAAGGAAGTATGATAAAGAAATAGGTGCAAACAATCAAATTAAACTTTATTCCGTCACATTTCATTATTTTGCAGAATTATTATTTAGCAAATTTACTTTTCTTCTATTAATAAAAATTACTTAACGACTTGTTTTATTTAATAATATAAAAGGGCTTGGAACATTCTTTTATGACGTCAATAATGTCTGGAGCTGAACTGATCTTTGTCATAATTAGTATTGTAAGGCTGTTTTTAAGAAACCGGCCCTAGAATGAGACCAAACTAATTCATCGTAACCCACAGCATTGCCCTAATCTACCTCTAAGTCTAGGTGAAGTTACTTCCTGGCAGTGCAAATATCACGGCTCCATAGAGATGAGCATTTAACATCTCGTTGGAACCGAGTAAACTTTAATGTTTTGTCATTTGATTGACATTATTTATGGACATCTCTTTTATTCATCTTCTGCATTAAAACAGAGCCTATCCCATTACTAAATTGATGACATTATTGCACACACTAACAAGATAACAGTATTTTATGGGATAATATCATTTGCGGAATAAATTGTTTAATTCCATTCATAGAATGACGAGAGAAAAATGCTTGATTGCTGAATTATGGAAGCAAAAAATCATCAAATTTAATCCAATAACCTTGATTGATGAAAATTTACTATAAATATGTAATATTTTTGGATTCCCTGGAATCAACTTATTCTCAGACTTATCTCAGAATGATTCCTAATCTTTCAATATAATAATTCACTTGAGAAAGATATCAATAAGCTCAGAATAATGTCTAAAATAGATTTCCTCGGAAAGCAATCGCCCAGCTATCACAAATAATTAACTTGTCAAGTGCCTCAAAAAATCTGATAAACATTCATTCGCTTAGTAAATGGCATTTCGTATCAACCACACGCCGTTATTTAATATTTTTTGTTTTGTTTGTTATCGCAACGATAACAATTTACATATATACATAATAGCTGTAGTAAAAGTGCTCATCAAATTATTTATAATCGCCAAATAGCGGTGAGAGACTGATTTTTTTTGCAAGCTTTAATGTGAATCGGTAGACATTTATGATGTCTGTGGTTATGTCAGTGAAATGCTACCAGCTTTACTGGTCTTTGTAGGAGAGTTTTGATATTGAATTTAATATTTCTAGCTTTGATTTTGAAAATAAGATTAGGTTTCATACTGTTAAGGACAGCTCTTCCTCACCATTTCTATGTTTATTATTATTAAAGGTATGGAATCGAGTCTAATATTTACAGAACTTATGAAACAGTTGGTTCAAGGTTAAATAAGCCTCAAGTCCTATAAATTTCCTAGTCACCAATAAATCTTTAAAAATCATATAACTCTTAGATAAATGTGTCAATAACCTTACAAATCTACCTCAACCGGAATAACTAAGAATCAATTCGAGTTATGCAACTCTGTAACAAGAAAATAAATAATCTGCGATGTATAATTTTAATCAAGACTAATGAATTGAGCACGATCTTTGGACTCGTCCAATTGATTTCACAGTAATCAGCTGATAATAAGAGTTTGTATTTGATCTATAATTTCCATACTAAACACCTATAACTGTCAATTAATTGCCACAAATTAAGTTGTAAACGGTTTTCTTGGAACTGATAGTAGCTTTTAATTGTTATTCTTATCACGAAGATATTAAAATAAAAATGCATACGGATATGCTATGAATATGAAATGTATTGCAAAAAATGGATATACTTGTCAATCGCTCGTTTGTGCTATTTAATTATTAAGCAGCTATGGTTCAGTATTTTAGTTAAAACATCCTCGATAGTTCAGTAGTGAGTATTTAAAAGCAATTAGGTAATACATTAAGTCTCAAAAGAAATGATTTTTTTGAATCAGCCCTTTCCCCTTCATTTGTCTCCCAAAGTCATTAATCCATTGAAAAATAAGTCTTTGTCAGGAATAAAATCGCAACGCAATAGAGAGATCTAGCAAAATTAAAATTACCAAATCACATACCAAACTTCTGTCAAAACAATTCCGAGAATTTGTTGGCTGTAAAGAAGATAAACAAAAATGATTTATTGCATCTTCTAAGTTCTTCCTTCAATTCAGGTTTTTCCAACCAAACCTGATCGTTTTAAGTCAAATGGTATTTTTGTAATTCCTAATAATCAGCTGTAATGGTCTCGAAAAGTGTTATAATGACTAAACTTGTTGTGAAAAATCCCCAGACTACTTTTTTCTGCAAACTTTCATTGCACGTGCTACAGCCCACAAACATATTTTTTAAAACGATAATTAAGTCTTAGAATCTCAGCTGAAGTATTAAGTTACAATGTTAAGTGCAAAAACTACTTAGAAATGAAGAGTCGTAAACAATTTTAATTAATGTCAGCAATAAATATGTGCATGTATAAAATAATATATATTAATTCAATGTGGATTGAATGGTAATGTTGGAAATTACATGACGAAAGCAACTACGTCATTTAAATGAACAAAATACCTTCTAAATCTTATAATAGGTCTGCAAAAAAAAAATAATGCCATTTATTCAGCTCTTTTTATGGGCGTGAATGCGATTATTTTCTCCATTCAATAGACTCAGCATTATTTGAAACTTGCAATGTGATGCAAGCATAAAAAAAAAGTTGAGAAGTTAATGAACTGACAGTGTCATTTAAGTATGCACAGAAACATCGTCAAATCAGTATGCATATCAAAAAATAAGCAGCTTCAAGGGTTTTTAACACTAGCGTAATCGACCGTCAAATTAAGTTTTTTTGAAAAATATTTTCAAGGTTTCTGCATTTTCATATGCTTAAAAAGTGCATGAATTAACATTTTTTTTTTTTCATGAGAACAACAACCGGTATATAATCGTCTTCCTCGAACGCTCATTTAACCAGACGAAAACATGAAAAAGAAATTGCTTGTCTCGTCAAAAATAAGAATCTAATTGACTTTAAGGGCCAATGATTTGATACTACAGGAATCGTTTCTTTCGTGATTTTCACTTTCTTTTTACTCTTTACTATGCAATTATGCCTTGCTTTTAAAAACATTTTGAAAAACTCTTTGGGTTACTTAATAATTATGCAATTGGAAACGAACGACTATAATTTCTCAGTACAATTCTCTTTTTTTTGCAATATAACAATTCGCGTTCGCTAGATGTGCAAAATCAAGAATTTTGACATTTTCTGACGCAATATCTTCGATATTCTTGTTTACCGATAACCGTTTCTTGTTCACAAAAGAAGACATTAATTATATACTGCTCTTTGCAATAACGAAAAAGCTACCAGAAAAAAGTTTGTTTTCTCATTTTTTGTGGACTTTAATTCTGAATAATCGTCGTCACTCATTTCTGTACACCTTTCAACAGAAACTTCGCACACGAGTCATCAAGTGAAAACAATAACTTTAAATGCCCTTTTAGAGCATGTCTTGTATGACATTGATATTTTTTTGACTGCAAACCGTAGATAACAAACATCTTAAATATCCATAGTTTCACTTTTATCGAGTATCTCTCAGTAACAAGCTAGCTCAGATTTCATTTTTCGCGATACTTGCTATATTACACTTTGTGATTTATTCAGTTATTCAGTAAAGCATAACATAATTGTTCCGATATTTAGTGTCTATATTGATAACAGAATTGACGTTGACACGTTTTATTGCTGTAACACAGTAAGTCACATGAAGGCACGTTAGTTTTGCAAAATAATCATAACAATAAGACAGGCCTCCTGTTGTTATTTAATGTATAATATCGCGCCATTATTAAGTGTGCACATTTTTGCACAGCCAACAATAAACACAAAAAGTTTAACTAGTCTTCCTCTCGATTATAATGTATGCTGTTGATACTTACTGTTGTGGGCTCGATTTATGCAGTCTTTCAATAAATAGTTAATTACTCTGAAGAATATTTTCACTTTCAACTGGATCTTTTTTTATAGCTTAACTTTCGGAATTGCACAACTTTAAGAGCTTGCACAAACAGACAGCACGCAAAAATTAATATTATATACACACAAAATATTATAGAAACAAATAAATTAAATTAAATTTAAAGTTGTTCCTGCAAAGCTCTTCAAACACGTCCGAATAATACAAGCGATGAATTATAACTGAAATATCAAGAGAATGAATGCTTTGAATAGCTTCAAATAAAACAGAGAAGCAAAAATAAAATTGTTGGAGAAAGAGATGGACTTACATGCTATTGTGCTTGCTATATGCTATATATTATCAATGAATGATAAGAGATATAAGCAATTTATTGATTTCTCTTTGACTTTTTCGGGTTTACATCAGTTTATATTTCTCTGATTTTGTATGGAAATTCCAAGGTTGACACTTATTTTTGAGATTTAGTTCTGTTAATAAGCTGAAAATAATGTGTGAAAAAGTAATTAAAAGAGCTAATTGTGGCTAGTAAATTAATTAAATCTTTTTAAAATTTAACGATAGGAAAAAATTCAAAATTTATATGGAAAAGACGCAAAAAATTCAAATATAAAATGATTACGTTAATTTAATATCTTTAAAAATCATTCAACGACGCACGTGCTCATGGATCTCTATGCAAAACTTCTACAAATACATTAAAAGTAATACATCTAATTTATTAATATTGATTTACTGTACGCAGGCATTAATCTAAGCCTTACATAAAAAGTATTGAAGATATTGATGCATATATGAGTAACGACATTTTTCGAGGTGATCAGAAAAACCCGAACATATTTCAATAACTCACATCATTCATTATGTAGAGACAAACATCAAATATTCTAGCAAATATCAGCCTTCGCATCACATTTCGTCAGCACTTTCCTTATTATAAAGAATAAAATTATTAACCTAATTGAAGGCACTTGACAAATATAATAAAATTTCGTGATAAAAAATAGGTCAAAAATGAAAATCTATTACAAACTGCATTTAGCTGTCGATTGAAATGCAATAAATTGAATTATATAATTTATGACTGCAAGTAAGGCTGATTGCATCAACAATTAATGAATGTTTGACAACAAAAAAAAATGATATTTCTCAAGTGATCTTCAAATATAATTTAATTAAACTTTTTTATTGCTTTTTGCTTCTCCTTTTTTGAGTATACGACAACATTAAAACTTATAAGTTAAGGTAAAAAATTTAATTATTCATCAACATTCTTGTCTCCAGCAAGCATCTTTTGAATCTCAGCCATTGACTTTCCTTTTGTTTCTGGGATAATGAAGAATGTAAAGAGAATGCCTACAAAACTGGCACCAGAAAAGATCCAAAATGTTGGACCGATTGTTATAATGTCAGCAATCGGACGGAAACTTATTGTAATTACGAATGCAAACATCCAGTTGAAGAAGCCAATAAATGGGCTCACAAATGTTGATAATTCCTTTGAAGATATCTCACCTATAAATAGATTAATGATAAGAAGTATTTTATCATTTTTTTAAGTACTTAATTACCAATCATAAGCCATACGACTGGTCCGTAGCCAATAGCAAATGTGACTAAGAAGATACTTAAAGAAGTCAGCGGCAACCATCCTAAAGAATCAGCAACAGTCTCGTCTTGCTCGAGAAGGAAGAAGAAAACTCCTAGCGCAGTAGTACAAATTGTCATGCCAATGATTGAAACCAGCAATAAAAGTCGTCTGCCAAGTCTATCGACTAAAAGTGCACCAACACAAGTGACTCCAAAATTTATTGATCCCATGATAATTGTTGAAATGTCTGAATCTATTTGCACATTTGCTTCCTAAAGTACAAGGTTTGAATAAGTTGATTGAATACGTTTTAAGTCAAAAATGCTTACATCGAAGATTCTTGTTGAATAGAAGATGACAACATTGATACCGCTCATTTGCTGGAAAAATGCTAGCCCAAATCCAATAAAAATCGCAATTTTTGATGCTCTTAGCTTAATAAGTTCTCCAAATGAAGTTTGGTTCCTATTAATTTCTTCAATTTCCTCTTTTATAGCATCGATTTCATTTTGAGGATCATAATGATCACCTCTTAACCATTTGTAAACTTTTTGTGCATCGTCAATGCGATTTTCGATGACAAGATAAACGGGACTTTCAGGCATGAAGAAAAAGACAACACCAAATAATACAGCGACTAATCCACAAATAATATTGGTCCAATAAACTGACATGTATGGTCCAATGCAGTAGACGAATAAAATACCAGCATTAATTAAAATTTGAAAGAATGTTCCGATAATTCCACGAATCTCCTTCTCAGCTATTTCTGCAGAATATTGTGGTGCCGAAATACAGAAAGCACCACCTAGACAAGCAATATGAAAATCAGTCAATAAACTGCATAATCTCAAGCATAAAGCCCCCTACCTGCAATTCCGATCAAAAATCTTCCAGCTATCATCATAGCGACATTTATTGCCCAAATTAAAAGAGCCCATCCAACAATAAATGGAATTACGAGTGTAAGCATTGTCCATTTCCTTCCAAACTTCTTCATTAAGAAGCCAATTGGGAGGCACGATATGGCACATCCAATTGTTATAATAGATCCTATCCAATCCCATTGTCCTGGTGTTATCTCAAAACCTTGTTCCTGATCTGTTAAAAGCCTCCTTTCAGTCGGGGCTGGCCAACCTATTAAACATCAATTCAAAAATAAAACTGGCAGCAATAAAGGTATTGTCATCGACTTACCTAATGCCGTTCCTAATTTAATCAATTTTAAAATAGAGATATTAAGTCATGTCAAAAATTTATTATATGGTCTTTAAAATTAATGGAACTTTTTTTCAGCGTCAGAAATCGATAATATTTTGGATTTTTCGTCTTCATTAAGGGACTTTATGTTGTAAGATGTACTCCAAGAATTTTGATTTCAGAAACTCTACAGCATAAACCATTAATTTAGATATATAAATGTCCAGAAAAAGAGAAAAAAAGGCAAACAATTTCTGATTTCTGACACTTATTCAACAAACGACTAAGCACAGATATCAATATCATACCAACAGCTAAAGCACCTCCAGCTATTAAATAGAGATAAGAGAAAAGTTTTATTTTATTGCTCTGGTCTTAAATGATAAGCATTCTCATGTATATTTTAACCTGCAGAAGCACCAGCTATATATTGTGGCCAATGAGTTGTTGACATCCCGTTTACATTAAATGATTGCTTCATCAAAAATCCACTGGATTAATTGGTATTATGATAATTTTATTGTTTTTCAATCACTCAGATCCCTGCTCAGACCGAAAAAAATGTCATAAATTAAGCAGTCTAAAGTATTTACAGCTGTCACTTTACTATTGTTTTTTAGCAACAATATTGCATTTATATGCGACTCCAAAAAAAAGTAAATTATGGGAAATACGTGATATACGTTTTTACATTGATGGCAATTAGTTTTGTATCACATAAAGCATCTCAACTTTTTTATCACCTAGAATATAGCGTGTTGACTGCTGAAATGTGCAGCACAATAAATCACATGCAAAATTCGTCTTTTTAAAGACAACTGTATGAGTTTAAATATTTTCAATCAATTATAATCTACGATTTGGATTAGCACTAAACACACAAATTACACTCACTGAACTTCTAGACTACAACTGAGCCATAAAATAGTCTGACATGTATTTTTTATTGACATAAAATAGGTGAAAAAGGTTTCAATGTATTTTTAGCAGTATTTGTTATCTTTTATCAATCAATTAAATGCAGAATTTGTTTATCAGCTACAGAAATGTGAAATCTACCTGTTTTAAAGAACAGAACTTAAACCTCAAATAACTTTTTAACGGTTTTGAAGCCCTGAAAACGTCATCCAGCTAATGCCTAAAACTGGTTAAATTATATCCATTCATTCATTGATAAGATTACTATTATGCACACATGTATGTGCCAAATTTTGTAGTAAAATACTGCCTAATGCCTTTGTGACAACAGAAATTCGTAGAAAAGATTAAGAACTTTCCAAATCAAAAGCTGATAACTTTTGATAAGGAATAAATTAGAATGCAAAGAATGAGGTATTTTAAAGACAACGGATATGTAATTTTAAGTGAATTAGAATGTTTCGTAGAGGAAACAAGGTTTTATGGGGATAAAGCTAGTACTAACACCCGAATGGCATCCACTGATATTTCATACATATTTATTACTCTTATCAAATGATTAAAAATTCAATAATATTTACCAAACCATTTATATTATGATTATTATTTTATAAAATACATTGGACATAAATGACTTTAATGCATAGCAAGTATTTTTTTGAGATCAAAATTAAGATTCTGATTAGTCCAGTCATTGTCGGTATTATCAAGAAAGTTGTCAAAATCATTTAATTCCTTCATGGCTCCTCGCTGTAAAAGAAGTGACACAGCATCAATAGTATTTTTCGAGTCACTCAAGCTATGTTTTGCTTTTGCCCATTTTCCATCGTTTGAGTGCCACGCTTTTAATCCGGAATGTTTCATATCCATGCACAATGACTTATTATCAATCTGTGATAATAGAAATGATCACACATTAACAAAATAGACAGTAATTAATGAGAAAATGTAACTTACAACAACGACAAAAGCTGATCCATTATTTTCAACAATTTTGTCAGCTATTTTAATAGCCGGAACTTTATCAATTGTATTGTCATAAAAGTTCTCAGACGCAGCATAATATCCAATGATTTGTAATCCATCATTAGCAGCTTTTGATTCTACTTGAATTAGAGCAATTTCATTCATCGGTGTAACATAAAGACATTGATGAAATAAAGGCACGGCATCAACTACTTCTGTTTTATTTGACTTTGATCCCAATAGTAAGCCATTGACAGCGGAATGAGGATATTTGGCTGGAAATTATATTCATTAATTTAATCATTTTTGAGGAAATTTCTAGTTTTTGCTTTACCGGCATGAAAAACCATCTTGATATAAGCCTTTTGTGATAAAACAACTTCAGACATCTTGTTAATAGTATTTTAATTTAAAATAAATAGTGAATTGCACAGGAAATCACTTAATTAAAGAATCTTTAAATTGAAAAATTTTCTCGTGTTTTTATTTCGATTAACCGATAACTCGTTTTTCCGACTCAATAATTTGAATTTTATTTTTCTGTTGGCGCAAATTGTGTCGCAATGCTTGAAAAATCTTATCACTCCTAGATAATAAATCTCGATTTCGTGATTTCAGTAGATTTTGAACCTTTATACTAGGCGTAAGTTTTGACTTCTGAAGATTAATATTTTTGCGGAAGTAAAATAATCGAAAATGTCAAGAGAAGTTCTTCGCAAGCACCTCTTTGTTAATAATCAATTCTTTGAGAATGCTCTTAGAGATTACTATCAGGATGCGACAATTTATCTAAAAACATTTGAAGTTAGAAGGGTGTCTAAAAGAGAGGAAAGTTACTGGGCTGATCAAATGATAATTGTGGCTAATTACACAAGTTCGAATAATGTCACCAAGTAAGGCACCCAATAAAAATTATTATCTACCCAAGTCCGTTGACTCGATAAATTTATAATTACAGAGCACAAAACTTGGTGTTAAAAATAGGATTTTATAATCCCTATATGGAAGAAAGTGTCGAAAAGTATGATCCATTCAAAAGGGAAATTCTCTTCTTCCAAAACATTCTACCAACTATGAACAAAATGTTTCAGTCACTGCATTCATATCCAGCTACGTGCAAGTGAGTATCAACGAGCACACACATTCTATTCTATCCAAATATTTAATCTTTTTTGTTTCGTCTGTCCATAAAGTGCAATGTGCATTGTTAATAAGCGTCCACAGCCAAAGTACATACTATTTGAGGAATTGTCAAGTGATAAATATTTGAGAGTTCATAGGAGGTCAGGATTGGATGAGAATCATTTGAAATTAGCTATTGAAAAATTAGCAAAATTTCATGCATGCTCGGCTGTTATGTATCAGCAAAATCGTGATTTGTTTGAACATCATCAACAGCCAAATGTCAGTGAATACTTTAAGATATTCCATCCATTATTTACAGCATCCTTGCATAAATTGGTTGAGGAAGTGTCGAATGATAAATGGCACAATTCAGAGACTTTGATTGAGAAGCTGATGTATTTTGAGAACAACTTTATTGATAAAGTAAGCGAAGCTTTTATGCTGGAAGATAATGAGTTAGGAGTGCTTTGTCATGGCGATTTGTGGATCGAAAACTTGCTTTTCCAATATGACGAAAAGAAAAATCCAATTGATGTCAAAATGGTGAGTTGAGCTTAATTCTTTAATGTCTTTCAGTAATACTGAATGACTTTAGGTTGATTTTGGACTGAGTTACTTTGGATCTCCAGGAATAGATTTGACATACCTTCTGTTCACATCTTCATCATCCGATATTGCTGACTACGAAATTGATGTTCTTTTGCAGCACTACCACATAACATTGCATAAAACATTAATCAAATTGGACTTTCCAAGACAAATTCCATCCTTGATACAAGTTCATAATCATTTTATGAAGCGTGGCATAATTGGAGTTCTGTATACAGTTTTGTTGCTTCCAATGAGATTCTCTCAAAATGACTATTTTATGGATCAAGAAATGAAGGATAGATTGATATTTCTATTAGATTACTTTGGAAGGAAGGGATTCTTAGATTAAAAACAGATTCCACATATTTATTAACACCAAAAGCTTTATTCCAATTTTAAAATATATTTTGTATAATAATGGGCCTCGACGATTTTTCTAGGATTATTGAAAAATTGTAACAAAATGTAACAAAGGGGGGGGGGGGGGGGGGGGGGGGGGGTTTGTCAAGAAGTATGTAACGTTCAAACTGTCGTCTGTCTTTTAAAAAAAAGTTCAAATCAATCACAAGTTTAAAAATAAATCTCTCTAAATCTGTCATTCATATGATGATTAATATGATCCCATTATTGTGATATTTACATTCAAAGTAGATTGAATTTTCCAAAATTCCTTCGGGCATAATATTTTTCATGCCATTTTTGAATTAAAAAAAAAAACAAATTTTTGCTTTACATCACAATACAATAATTCATGAGAACACTAATAGTATCAATCAAAACACGACCTATTTAGCTGTACAGTGTTTTGATGTTTAAGAAAAAAAATACAAAAGAAATTTAACCGTCTTTTTAGAATAAAAAATTGTCAAAATAAAATAAATTATGAACGTTCAGGGGGGGGGGGGGGGGGGGGGTTGTGAGTTGTAACATATTGTAACAAGGGGGGGGGGGTAAAAAAATCGTTTTTTTGCGTAACGTAATAAGTGAACGATATGTTTCGGGGACAATTTATTACTTTTTTTGAAACCAACCAAAAGAGAATAAAATTTCTGATCTAAAAAAATACATTTGAAGATATATCAATGAAAAATGAAAAAGTTATGGCAAAATTCCCAAAAATTATTCGTGAGTGACGCTTAGAATAATTTTTTTTCGTCGGGGCCCTAATACATAATGTCTTTTTTCTAAAGCATTAAAGACTTGAATTATTTGACTATTTGATTTAAACATTTTTGAGGACCTCTTTGATTTTAAATAATATCCTTCAGAACAGTGCAGAACGAGTATGCAGATTTTACTGCAGTCAAATATGATTCAAAGTTCAAAGGATAGAATTTCGCAGCTGTAATTAAGCATGGTCTTTGAGCTCGCAAAATACATAAAATTAGACTTCGAGCTTCAGATCGGTCTTCAATTTTATAGATTTCATACCAAGGCAAGTCATAGATTAGGTCTGCAACCAGTTTACTCTGTAATGAGAGGTTTATTAAAAAATTAATCCATGCTCCCTCATCCCCTTATATACTTCTTCTTCCAAATTAGTTCCGAAATAAGAGAACAAGAACAAAAGCAATTGCACAACACCAAAAAAGATCAAAACTTTGAAAAAGTTCAGCAAGTCTTCAGAAAGCTGTAAAAAGTAAAATATAGTAACCCCAAAAATTTAACCAGCTACTCACAATGTTGAACTCAAAAAACAAAAAGCATAAGACGACAGTGTTAACAGAGTACAGCACAAATACCAAAATATTCAACACATCTTCAAGTTGTTCTGCAAATTTGATGGCTATGTTATGAGCCTCAATGATTGAGGCAATTTCCTTTTTCAGTTCATTTCCTTCGATCCTCTTTCCGACTAGTTCTTCATTGAGATGTTGGATCTTACATTGCACATACCGAAAAAATGATGCAACATAGACCATTAGATTTATGTATAAAAAGTCAAGTCCATAAAATATATGAACAATCCCTAGCATATGAACGATTGTTGGAATTAAAAGTAGAAAATATGCAAAAGGATATTCACGGAACTCAAATCCATAGCTGTAAAAAAGTAATGGAAATAAAGGAAAATTCTTCAAGAATGAGTAACGAAACTTACTAAACTTGTACAGGAAAAGGCCAACTCCCAATCTTACAAAAATTCATAAAGCAGAAAAAGACTATTATCGGAACTGTAAAGTAAGTTGAAGCCGAGAAAAAAACGAATTTGTAAAAGATTTCAGAAAACTTAAAGATTCGACGTTCTTGGTGATCTGATGATGCCATCCAATGTGGATTTACGGTATTGCACGCTAATTATGTAGGTGAAAATTAAGTTATGAGCTTGCTGCACTTAGTTTATAACTTACACTTCTTCCATTCATTTTTCAAATTACTGATCAAACTAAACATTTCGTCCCTATTCAGCAACAAAATGAATATTTTGATCATCAAAACGATCAAACTGATGAATTCATGCAAACACATAAATACTTTCTGGATGTCATGTAGATTCTTGATGATAAAGCACAGGCCTGGGATGATTTCCAATGATAAGCAGGATATAACGAAAAATATCGATCGGATATTAATGACATTTCCTGGCCAAAATCCAAGCATTGACAGGAACTTTTCATCAATAGCAAAAAGCTCTGCCTTCTTAAAATCTGGGAACAATTTCTTCCACTTCATATTTTCTGGTTTTTATTCTTTCTCACTATTAAAACAATCAAATTAGAACTGATGGCAGTTATGATAAACCATTCTAATTTATAGAAAAATAAATGAAGCAGGATGGAACGTCAAAAGATTGACATGTGGAATAAATTTATAATATGGGAGCTCATAGCATGATTGTGACACATTCTTGATATTTTCAAATAGTCAATCCTTTATTAAAATTTTATAAAACCTTTAACAACAATAAATGCATCCGTTTCATTTGAACTCAGTTTGAATTCCATCTAAGAATATGAATTACAATTTTGGTTTGATCTTTCTGGTTGCACGGCTAACTTTGGATTCTGATGGTCTGCCAAGTTCCTCGGAAATAAATTTACCAGTATCAATGAGAAGATCTAAGTTAATTCCTGTTTTGGCACCACATCCCTCAAGCATGTAAACGACATCCTCTGTAGCTGCATTACCTGAAGCTCCTCTTGCATATGGACAACCGCCTAATCCAGAAACTGAAGAATCAACGACCGTTATTCCAATATCCAGGGAAGTTAATATATTAGGCAGTGCTTGTCCATAAGTATCATGACAATGAACAGCGAATTTATCAACAGGTGCAACTTTAAGAACTTCCAAAAGCATATCCTTTATTGTTCCAGGAGTTCCAACACCGATTGTATCCCCTAGTGATATTTCATAGCAACCCATAGTCAATAACTTTTCACACACTTTCGCTACAGCCGATGGATTGATTTTTCCTTCATATGGACATCCTACAACTGTTGAAACATATCCCCTGACTTTTATGTTATTTGCTTTTGCTGCATCCAAAACAGATTGAAATCTTTCAAGGCTTTCAGCAATTGAGCAGTTTACATTTTTCTTTGTAAATGATTCCGATGCAGCACCAAAAACGGCTACTTCTTTTGCACCAGCAGCAAGAGCTGATTCAAAACCTTTTAAGTTTGGTGTTAAAACTGGATATGACACCCCATCAACTTTTTCAATTCTTTGAAGAACTTCAGTGTTATCTCCCATTTGAGGTACCCACTTTGCAGATACGAAACTTGTTGCTTCAATACTTTTTAATCCAGTCTTTGAAAGTCGGTTTATTAATTCTATTTTAACTGATGCAGGGACAATTTTTGCTTCATTTTGAAGCCCGTCACGTGGACCAACTTCAACTATTCTAATTGAACTTAAATTTCTGGTTAATATACGATTAAATTTACAGAGAAACATTTTTGTGGATGCAAATATTACAAAACAGACTCAAAACAATAGTCAGCTGATTGAACTTTAGAGAAATATGAAGAGATGGCGCTAATGTCTGTATTGTGCTGGAAAGTTTTCACTGAAAATTTATGAGCTGAAAATTTTAAAATTTTCGACAAGACTTTAAATTTACTTATCAGACTTTTATTCAGTTTTGTACAGTGTTTAACGGACGCTTGTCAAAGTCATCTCACTTAGGTTGACATTTTCTTGTTGCACGATTGACTTTTGACTCAGATGGTCTATCAAGTTCCTCGCAAATGAATTTACCTGTTTCAATAAGTAAGTTTAAGTCAATGCCTGTCTTTACACCACAACCTTCAAGCATATAAACGACATCTTCAGTTGCTGCATTTCCAGAAGCTCCTCTCGCATATGGACAACCTCCTAATCCAGAAACTGAGGCATCAACGATCGATATTCCAAAATCTAAAGACGTTAGTATGTTTGAAAGTGCTTGTCCATAAGTATCGTGGTAATGAATCGCAAACTTTTCAACAGGTGCAACTTTTAAGACTTCGTTTAACATCTCTTTTATAGATTCTGTGGTTCCAACTCCGATTGTATCACCCAAAGATATCTCATAACATCCCACATCCAAAAGCATTTCACTAATTTTCGCAACGGATGATGGCTTGACTTTTCCTTCATAAGGGCATGCAATGACTGTTGACACATATCCTCGTACCTTCATATTATTGTCTTTTGCCGCTTTCATTATTTCCTTTACACGATCGACACCTTCAGCTATTGTGCAGTTAAAATTTTTCTTTGTAAAAGCTTCTGATGCGGAACCACCAACAGCTGTAAAGTTTACTTTGTTATATCCTGTGAATTATTATAAAGACACTTACCGATTTCTGTTGTTTTCGTGTCTACAGCATCCTGAAATCCCTTCATATTTGGAACAATAGCTGAATAAGTGACTCCATTAACTCTGTCGATTCCTTTCATCACCTCAACATTATCACCCATTTGTGGTATCCATTTTGCAGATACAAAACTAGTAGCTTCGATTGTTTTTAATCCAGTTTTTGAAAGTCGATTGATAAAATCTATTTTAGTTGCAGTTGGAAGGATTTTTTTCTCATTTTGAAGTCCATCACGTGGACCGACTTCAACTATTCTTACTGTACTTACATTTCTTGTAATTATTCGATTTATTGTTCGAGGAAACATTTTAAAATAAATAAATTTAAGAACTATAATGGATCAACATTCAAAGTCCACAAAACATTTTGGATTTATTGATAAGGCACACTAATTGACCTTATTCTCACTAGATGGAGTTCTGTGTATTAAAATGCAATTTTTCATTCATAAATGTTTAAATGTGTCAACGTAGTTGACTAATGAGCATGCGATAATGATGAGATAAAAAGGATGTAAAGTGCAACATTTAGTGCTTTACATTTTCTTTTGCAATCAAGTCAGAAAAATCGGAAAATTGTTGCGGAAATTGGAAATTTTCTTAAATTTTGTGCCAAAAAATTATAAATCAATTAAATTAAAGGAAATGAAGAATTTAAAGATTTGGATCGCAATTTTAAATGCTTTCTGTAAGTACAGCCAATTGTCTTGTTATTACCTCCTTCCACATAGCCTAATTAATTATTTATATTTCAATTAACATACGTTTATCACTACCATTTACTATACATTCAGTAATGGATGTCTCGTGTGTAAAAATAACAAAAATCTCAGTTCCATCAACTTACGTTATTGACTACAACTACTGTCGTCCACTCATTCTTGATTGTGATTATGAATTTCGATTGTCAGATGTTGGATTTGTGCTAAAATGGTATCATAACTCTCATTTGATTTATCAATGGATACCACCAAGAAAACCTTACATTTTCGTAAGTTTGTGGAGGACTTTGAAAAATCAATTTAATCAGTGCCATTTATTTTTAGAGTTCCTTTAAATATCACATCAATACATCATTCATATCCAATAATGATGACTTAAAGTATAGATATCGAGGCATTCAATTAAAGCCACATTATAATCTTACAGGTATGCATTTAGTTTTCAAAGGTAGGAAGATGAACATTTGAGCTTTATTTATAGGAGATTGGATGTGCAGCGTTCAAACTTATAGCACCCGTGATAGGCAAATTAAGAGAATGCAAGTGATTGGTAAGCAAGTGCCTCACAATTTTTGAGTTGTATAAAAATCTCTTCATTGTATTTAGTGCCTGAAAAGAGCTTTGAACTTTACCACCACGACTTGAACTTCTTTATGATTGAATCGCAAATATTCATTGTCATTTGCACAGTTAAAACAATTTATCCAGAACCTGATCTTAATATTGTGTAAGTTCAAATAGTTTAGGGGCCATTCACTTATTACGTAACGCTTTTAGGGGGAGGGGGGGGTCTAAGATTTTGTTACGGTTCAAACAAGGAAATTTTTTTTTCATACAAATTTTGTTACGAGGGGGGGCCCCCCTTGTGTCTAAGAAGTCATTTTTTCGCGTTACGTAATAAGTGAACAGCCCCTTATGTAAAATATCATCCATGCACAATATTATCGAAAATCTATTCCCACCTTTAGAATCAACAACAATTTTAGCGTAATTTCCGAAGAAAGAAGTGAATGCGATGAAAATGGATTCTTTAATAAATCAATTATGGCCAGAATTGATAAAAATTTCATTCCATCGCCATCCTCAATCAATTGCATCCTTGAAATCAACGGAACTGACTATATTAAAAAGAAGAGATTTATTTATTATGGTAAGTGCATTGGAATTTTTTTAATGACTAGTTATTGATTGCTTATCAATTTTTGTTAAGATTATAAATACGATAAAAATCATCCTGATGTCAGGAAGGCTTATTCATCAAGACATTCATTAAACGGTAGCAATAAGATTTATTATAGGGAGACTGAATTAATTGCACTGTTTATATTCAATGTGCTTATGATGTTTGTAAGTTGTGTAGAGTTGTAAGAGAATCTTGATGTTCTGTTCAAAAAACCCAGCATTTATAACAAGTTAAGCCACCCATTACAATTATTTAAAGGCATTGTCCGGATTAGAATATTTTGTGTTCATACCAGTTCATACTCCCGAGTGGACAAAGTACTAGTTAAAAGCTTGCCATTGACTTGCCTTTTCACGGCGAGTAAGTATCCATTGACGTGCCTTTGCAACTAGACTTAGGGACGACTAATGACATATTTTGCGCTTTCCATTTAACTGGACATAGGAATCGCACATATGTCAAGTTTATGTCCAGTTACAAAAAAATCGAAACAAAATAAATAACACGTGTCTTTTTCTCCATTTTTTTTCTTTTGTAAAATTTTATTATTGTATTAGTGTAATTAATTAATTGAAGTACACTAACACTTATGAAAAATCTCTAGTAAACATTAAGCCTCGAACACTTGCGCGTAAAACATTTATATGCATCTAAAATACAAATTTTGGTAAACCTTATATAAGTGATTTCTGCAAGCGCTTGTGAAGTATATGGTCAAAAAAGTAAGGGAAATTATTTTTGTGTTTCGAGCACTTGATTGATTAGCATGAATGTCCAGTTTAAGTCTATTTAACGTCTAGTTCTCTATGTCGTATATATTTTGGCAAGTTAAAACTGACTGTGTCCACTCGGGACTGTCTTTATATAAAGGTTCAATAATCGAGTTCCCATAAACGGAGATCAAATGAACAAGGTAACATGTAGAGAATGAATCGTAGAGTATTTAATAGATTTAAGCAGCTGTAATTTAAATTTATAATATTGTCACAAAATCAATGACTTAATTCAATTAATTGCGAAATTTGTGAGTAATAAAGAACACGAGTGTAGTGTCGAAAATGTATTTAAATGTATTCTCTGATTCCTATGGTATTCTCTTTCGCATTTACTATTCTTACTTTCAGTAAGTATTTTGCTATTGTATCGATTAGTGCTAATCTAAAAAGTGATCGATAAAAAAGTAGAATGAAGTTTTACAAAGTAATAATTGTGTTAATTGCGGTCTCAATGAATTCAGTCTATACTTTGTCAACGGTTAATTGTGATTTTGAGAAAATTGCTTCAACTTATGTCTGTAGTCCAACAAGTGTCAATCCAGTGACAAATGATTATGAAGAAATTTCTGTGAATGGAAGTCATTTAACCAATTTTAAGGATGAAGACGTTACTTATATTCGCTTTAATTCACCTTTGACCCTCGAATATGTGCCAACAAAATTATTTGAAATTTTTCAAAATATTGAAATTTTTGGTCTGCAGAATGTTAATTTGATGAATATTACAAGTGAAGCATTTACAAATTGCTATAAATTAAAGTCACTGCATATTGATGGAAATAAAAAATTGACTGAAATACCTGCGAAATTTGCTGAGAGCTGTTCTAATTTGGTGAATCTGTATTTACCAGGAAATGCAATTAAAGTGATTGACAAAGAAGCTTTTAAGGGATTAGACAATTTGAATTATCTAGTGTTGACAAGAAATGAACTTGAGGAACTTCAACCTGACATGTTCACCTTAGCTATTAATCTTCAAAATTTATTTCTTGACCACAATAGAATCAAATTTTTGAATAGCGATTTGTTCTATCCACTTAGAAAATTGCAACTGCTTAGCATCACAAACAATCAAATTGAGGAAGTATCACTCGAACTTTTTAGGAATAATCCACTACTTGATCAGATTTTTTTCGACAACAATGAAGTTGTAGCCATTGAAAAAAAATTCTTTGAAGAGTTTCCAGGACGTCGTGAAAATTATGAGTTTCGATTCTACAATAACAACTGTACAAATTCTATTATATCGAATAAAGTTGAAAAGATTGAAAGTTTTGATGATTTTGAGGTGTGCTTTAAAAATTGGAACGAAACTCACCAGAAAATTCAAGCTGAAGAGGAATTTTCGACAGACAATGAAGTCATTTCCTACTTAAGCACGTCTACTGATGTCACTTCTACTTATGGTGACTTCATCAGCCGTGATTGTCGATACTTCCTAAATGAGAATCGAAAGTACACATGCGTACTGGAAAATGTTGATCTCGTCCTCACAATGATTGGTGGAAAGCACTATGAAGACCAAAATGATGAAAATGTGACGCATTTGTACTTCTTTAATTCGACTTTGAGTAAAGTTCCGCCAATAGTGTTCCAAAAATTTCCAAACCTTGAATTTTTGTCCATTGCAAACACACAACTGACGATAATTAATGATCAAACATTTGATGGATGTGGAAAGCTTACCATAATTGATGCAAGTGACAATAAAATTAGCAAAATTGCAGAAACATCATTAAGGAAATGCAAGAGTTTAAAGACTATTGATGTTAGTGGAAATCCAATTTGGTATATTGATGGAGAAATATTCTCTTATGATCCACAGTTGAAGCACATCATTCTTAATAGGAATTTTCAATGAAATTTTCTTACTTTGTGAAATTACAAGATGTGGTGTCTTTTGACTTTAACAGCTTTAATAAAATGTTTTTATAGTTTATAACATTTGTTATTTTTATATTCACACCGTTTTCACGTGTGAATCTATTGGTTTTGTTCAAATTGAAAAATCAGTTTTTCGCATTTTGTGAGAAAACAAAGCAAAATTGGTTATAAACGGGCAAGAAGAAAAGTTTGTGCCTGAAATTTTACATCATTTTCAAAAAACAAGTTTCAAATTGGTTGTGGCATTGCTGAGAAAATCGCAAAATACGCTTTCTGTAAGCAAACAAGCAAGCAAGTTAATCAGCAAGAAATCTCAAAAACGAGAAATTGTAGAGACTTCTAGTTTTTTACATTTGATCCGTGCTGCTCTATAGAAGAGCTGTATTGTTTTTGGGCAAGGTAGGAACAGCCGTTGCTTCAGAAAAAGCAAAAAACTTTCCTTTCTTACGAATTTTTTAAAACAAAAGTTGACTGTGATTTTTATTATTTTAAATTAAACTTTGGGTGAAAAAAATTTTTTTGAGCAAAGAACCAAGTAGGAAAGACATTTTCAATTTTGGACTTGGGGCGACCCTAGTCAAAATCAATTTTGTCACTTTTTTCTTCGAGGGTTTATACAGATGGATTGAAACTTTGCATAAATATTTTAGTGCTTAAAACAAATACAGATAAAACATTTTAAAATTTTTTTGAGCCAAGAACCAAGTAGGAAATACATTTTCATGTTTGGACTAGGGGCGACCCTAGTCAAAATCAATTTTGTCACTTTTTTCTTCGAGGGTTTATACAGATGGATTGAAACTTTGCATAAATATTCTAATGCTTAAAACAAATACAGATAAAACATCTTAAAATTTTTTTCAGCAAAGAACCAAGTAGGAAATACATTTTCATGTTTGGACTAGGGGCGACCCTAGTCAAAATCAATTTTGTCACTTTTTTCTTCGAGGGTTTATACAGATGGATTGAAACTTTGCATAAATATTCTAATGCTTAAAAAAAATACAGATAAAACATCTTAAAATTTTTTTCAGCAAAGAACCAAGTAGGAAATACATTTTCAAGTTTGGACTAGGGGCGATCCTATTCAAAATCAATTTTGTCACTTTTTTCTTCGAGGGTTTATACAGATGGATTGAAACTTTGCATAAATATTCTAGTGCTTAAAACAAATACAGATAAAACATCCTAAAATTTTTTTGAGCAAAGAACCAAGTAGGAAATACATTTTTAAGTTTGGACTAGGGGCGACCCTAGTCAAAATCAATTTTGTCACTTTTTTCTTTGAGGGTTTATCCAAATGGATTGAAATTTTGCATAAATATTTCAATGCTTAAAACAAATACAGATAAAACATCTTAAAATTTTTTTGAGCAAAGAACCAAGTAGGAAATACATTTTCAAGTTTGGACTAGGGGCGACCCTATTCAATATCAATTTTGTCACTTTTTTCTTCGAGGGTTTATACAGATGGATTGAAACTTTGCATAAATATTCTAATGCTTAAAACAAATACAGATAAAACATCTTAAAATTTTTTTCAGCAAAGAACCAAGTAGGAAATACATTTTTAAGTTTGGACTAGGGGCGACCCTAGTCAAAATCAATTTTATCACTTTTTTCTTTGAGGGTTTATCCAAAGAGATTGAAACTTTGCATAAATATTCTAATGCTTAAAACAAATACAGATAAAACATCTTAAAATTTTTTTGAGCAAAGAACCAAGTAGGAAATACATTTTCAAGTTTGGACTAGGGGCGACCCTATTCAATATCAATTTTGTCACTTTTTTCTTCGAGGGTTTATACAGATGGATTGAAACTTTGCATAAATATTTTAGTGCTTAAAACAAATACAAATAAAACATCCTAAAATTTTTTTGAGCAAAGAACCAAGTAGAAAATACATTTTCATGTTTGGACTAGGGGGCCATTCACTTATTACGTAACGCTTTTAGGGGGAGGGGGGTCTAAGATTTTGTTACGATTCAAACAAGGAAATTTTTTTTTCATACAAATTTTGTTACGAGGGGGGGGGGGTCTAAGAAGTCATTTTTTCGCGTTACGTAATAAGTGAACAGCCCCTAGGGGCGACCCTAGTCAAAATCAATTTTGTCACTTTTTTCTTCGAGGGTTTATACAGATGGATTGAAACTTTGCATAAATATTCTAATGCTTAAAACAAATACAGATAAAACATCTTAAAATTTTTTTCAGCAAAGAACCAAGTAGGAAATACATTTTCAAGTTTGGACTAGGGGCGATCCTATTCAAAATCAATTTTGTCACTTTTTTCTTCGAGGGTTTATACAGATGGATTGAAACTTTGCATAAATATTCTAGTGCTTAAAACAAATACAGATAAAACATCCTAAAATTTTTTTGAGCAAAGAACCAAGTAGGAAATACATTTTTAAGTTTGGACTAGGGGCGACCCTAGTCAAAATCAATTTTGTCACTTTTTTCTTTGAGGGTTTATCCAAATGGATTGAAATTTTGCATAAATATTTCAATGCTTAAAACAAATACAGATAAAACATCTTAAAATTTTTTTGAGCAAAGAACCAAGTAGGAAATACATTTTCAAGTTTGGACTAGGGGCGACCCTATTCAATATCAATTTTGTCACTTTTTTCTTTGAGAGTTTATCCAAATGGATAGAAACTTTGCATAAATATTCTAGTGCTTAAAAAAAATACAAATAAAACATTCTAAAATTTTTTTGAGAAAAGAACCAAGTAGGAAATACATTTTCAATTTTGGACTAGGGGCGACCCTAGTCAAAATCAATTTTCTTACTTTTTTCTTCGAAAAAATCTAAAGCAAGAAATGTATTCTATAAGTCAGACCCAAATTTTATAAATTTGGTTCTACATTCGAAAACAACGTGACTTAAAATTTTGTCC